AAATATTTAAAATTTGCCACTATCCTAGATTTTGCCCATTTGTCAGTAAGAATGTTTTACTCATTTAAAACACAATAAAATGTAATATGCTCTCTTATTCTTTTATATATTTTAATATAAACAAGTCAGAATAAGCATGTTGTTTGAATTTTTACATAAATATAAGTGTTACACTGAATGATAATGTAACATTATTTCAACCAAATTGTAACATTTTATTCTTCAAAAACTTATTTGAAACCTTAAAAGTAGACACTTTAACTTACATTTAATGTGCTTTCTATGGATATAAAATCACTGTTGTACATTTCTTTTGTTATATATATTTTGTATGTGTATATATATATATGTGCTTAATTAGCATGAAACAAACAAAGTGTCTTAAGTTCTTAATAAAACATAAAAAATAACTTTTTCAACACATTGTGACGCATGCATATGAATCATTTCGATATAAACTCCAGATCGTACCTGTGGGTGATAAACACTGAGGGACTTGACTTTATGCAGAGGTAACAAAACTTTTAAAAGGAAGATTTTGTGCTCTTCTTTCAGCGGTAAGGCGAAGCCGTTAATGATGCTGGAGGAAAAGAGAAAAACAAGACGTGAAACAGTGAATAATTACCAAGACTTCATGAATGAGGCTTCAAACACACTAGAACAGAGACACGGAGTTCAAAAAACAATCAAAGACACCAATAATATCATTATTATAATGACATTTCATCAAGCAACAGTGATTCGTCACAATAATACACAATCAAATTAATCTGTTCGAATGTTGCTTGGATTAACAAAAAATGTTTCGTACCTTCCTAATATTTCCAGTAGTTCGGCTATTCCGTTATGATGCTCTGTTTCATAGATGAACCTGTATGGAGATAAAACACATATTGTATATCAATTTATATATTACAGATATTATGCATCAATCAATAAAATCATGGTATAATCGATCATCAACTGATCTAGAGTTCCCCAAATCTTTAAGATCTAACCAACTGATTGAACTGATTGAGGGCTGTAGGCCAAAAATAAATGTTATAATAAAATGAATTAAATAAAAAATAATAATAATAATAATAATAAAAAAAAAAAACTTTTTGAAATTTTACAAATATTTTTAAAATGAAATTCTCTAAAAAAAATTTTTTAAGAAAAATATAAAGATATGCTTCAATGGCATGTTTTTTCTTATTTTCCAAATCAAATCAAAGGTTATCAGGGGTCCACTTTGGCAGATATTATATTTAGTTTCACTCAGAAATGTCATGTTATGAAATTAGTGTAGGGCGACTTTTCCAATTTTATCGATTCATTCGAATGTAATGTTTTGCCACGATTTTATTTTTTAGAAATCGAGGAATCGCGATTTTGAATAGAAATATTACCAAACGTTAGAATTAGACACTTTGACAATAACGGTAAAGAGAAAAGAACGATCCAACCTCGTATATTTCTGAACATATAATATGTATAAGTTGTAGCTCATGCATCTTTTCTGCAAAGATATTTAACAAGCGATCTGTTTAACATTTACATCTTCATGTGTGCTGCACTTGGAATAGAATTCTCGTTAACTAAAGGGTTAATGAAGAACAAGTTACTTGAATCATGTTGTAGTTACATTTTCAAGTCGACTAGTTAAAAATCGTTAAAAAAAAAAACGTTCTGAAAAAAATGAGATTTTAATTTTTTGCCCTATATGAAAGTTGAATGCATTGCAAGTCCTGGGTCATATTTTGCAGTCTCACCTATAGAAAATGTTATTAATCTGTTTCCTGATGTACGCTCTGAGACCCAGGAACTTCCCGTAGATGCGGTGGAGAGTCGTCTTCAGAAAGTCACGCTCTCGAGGGTCTTCACTGTCGAACAGCTCCAGGAGCTGCAAGCAAGTCATTAATAAGGTTTATCGGATGTCAATTTATCCATTTTTTAGCACAGAAGTCTTTGGTAATCATGCAAATAATGCAAAAATAACTTGATGACCCACACAAAACATCTGTGTTTTCTGTGGACATTAATATTATTGAGGTAATAAAAAAAACTTGTTTATATCACACACAAATGCATTAAAATAAAGCAAACTGAAAACATATTAATGCAGGGACTTACAAACATATTTATTAAGTATATTAAATAAAACTGCAATGTGCACATGGTATTTGGAGTCCTGCGTGTGCATTTTGCCGATTTTAATGATTTATTCAATGGCAAGTGAAAACAGACAACCGAGAACAAATGAACCTGAGCACATATTTCAACACACCTGCATCACAAACTTCTGGTCGATGTATTTCTTGGCTATGTTTGGTTGAAAGTCTGGTGACTCTAAAAAACGCAGGAAAAATTCATAGACGAGCTGTGGAAAGAACAATATGTATTTGAAAGATGCATTTCAAAATGTAAAAACATGCATTTATAAGTAAAATAGCAGTCATTTAGTGGCCACTTTTATCCAAAGTGTCTTACAGCACACTTTTTTAAAGGGAAATTATATTGTATCAATAACTGATACAGTGAGTGTGTGTGAGTGTGTGTGTGTGTGTGTGTGTGAGAGTGAGTGTGTGTGAGTAAAAGACTGTACAACAAATAATAGTATTATATACATGTATACATATTATATATTCACCATTCAAATGTTTGGGGTTGGTGAGATTTTTTCAATGTTTCTGAAATAAGTCTCTTCTGCTCACTAAGGCTGCATTTATATGATCAAAAATACAGTAAAAATTGTTAAATATTATTAGAATGTAAAACAGCTGTTTTCTATGTGAATATCTGTTAAACTGTAATGTATTTCTGTGATGCGCAGCTGTATTTTCAGCATCATTACTGCAGTCTTCAGCGTCACATGATCTTCAGAAATCAGTATAATATGCTGCTTGAGAAACATTTCTGATTATTATCAATGTTGAAAACATTAATATTTTAGTGGAAACTGTGAAATATTTTATTTTTCAGGATTCACAGATGAATAGAAAGTTCAAAAGGACAGCATTTATTTGAAATAGAATCTTCTGTAACATTATAAATGTCTTTACTGCCACTTTTGATCAATTTAATGCATCCTTGATGGATAAAAGTATTAATTTCACCTGCAGGTGAGGCCAGGCCGCTTCTAAATTGGGTTCATCCTCCTCGGGGTCAAACTCTGCGCCGGTTGGGTTGGATGATGGAGGTAACGCCCTAAACATGTTGACTGCAAACTGAAACAAACAAACCACATAAAATGAAAAATGTGTATATAGATTAGGGCTGCACAATATATCGAAAATATCGAAATATCGCAAATGTAAATATTGCATATTGCAATGGCGTGCGATATCTGAATCATTTTAATAATAGGCTACTTAAATCATTTTTTCCCCCTTTTTCTTTCTTTTTTTTTACTGACTGTTCACTTTTTCCTTTAATCATGTTTGAACTTTCTCAGACTATAGTTTTTGCTGTGGTATATGAAGAAGTACTTAAAGTGTGTGGAAAGCAAAGTCACAATGATATACAATTAGTATATTAGTATTACATTTTTTTTGTCATTCACATTTATGTTAAAATTACATTTTCTGATTTGTGACATTACTTTTTATGTAATGCTAAAACACTGCTGGTCTCTTTCAGAAGTTGTAGTGATTCTTTCTTTTCCAAGAAAGAATGTGAAACAAATTGGTTATATAATTTTCATTTTAAATATTTAAAAATGTAATTTAAATAGATTTTTCACACTTTAAGCAATATCGTATCGCATATCGCATTTTTTAACAAGGTATCGCGTATCGCATTTTTTTTCAATATCGCACAGCCCTAATATAGATGCATATCTGTTTACTGAGAACAGACTAAAGGAGTAAGTCTTTATCAATGAACCGTCCATTCAGCTTGTTGATTAATGAAACGTGGCAGCACATGCACAAATTAATCAGAAGAAAAGGTTTTAATCCTCCCGATCGCAGCACTTTGAAGTTCTTGGCTTTAATCATCAAAGTGTGTGTGTGTGAGAGAGTGTGTGTGTGTGAGTGTGAGTGTGCGTGTGTGTGTGTGTGTGTGTGTGAGAGAGAGAGAGAGTGTGAGAGTGTGTGTGTGTTTAAGGGGATGTGATGCAGGTAATGTGCTTGAGAACATATTGTCATGCTTATTTCGCAAGTCCATTTGCACTTCGATAGGCTGCGGCTTAACATCAGCTGTGGGCTCTAATAAATATCAAAGAGATGTAATTCAGCGCTGGAATAACTGCAGCTGGCAGAAGCACCGAGGCCAACCGCAGGTCAATCGACGCTCTGCTACTAAACGCAAAGCTGTCGGACAAAAACCGCCCCTTAAAAGGACGGCGAAACAACAGATCTGATTCGGAGGAGCCAACAGATTTGCCCAAATGCTCAACACAACCTTGCATGGCTGAGCGATGCGCTATCAGCGGTTTATATAGTTCAGATCCACTTTTTAGAACAGAAATAGCATTGACTTCTCTAGACCAAAATGTGCATTTTTTTGCTTATTCACAGGAACAGATTTGGAGAACTGTAGCGTTGCATCAGTGTCTCAGCAATGGATGCTCTGCAGTGAATGGGTGCCGTCAGAATGAGAGTCCAAACAGCTGATAAAAACGTATTTTAGTTAAAAGCGTCTTAATGCTGGATTTGTTTCAGCTTTTGTCTTCTCCAGATGTTAACTGATGGACTGGAGTGCTGTGGATTACTTGTGGATTATTGTGATGTTTTTATCAGCTGTTTGGACTCTCATTCTGACGGCACCCATTCACTGCAGAGCATCCATTGCTGAGACACTGATGCAATGCTACATTTCTACAAACCTGATGAAGAAACAAACTCATCCTGATCTCAGATGACCTGAGGGTGAGCACATTCATTCATTTTTGGCAGAACTCTTTCTTTAAGGACTCTAGGAACCAAGCTGTCTCAAACCCTAAATGTGACCCTGGACCAAAAAAAACCAGTCATAAGGGTCAATTTTTCGAAATTAAGATTTATGCGTCATCTAAAAAACCAGAATAAATAATCTTTCCATTGATGTATGGTTTACTTAATATCCTAATGATTTTTAGCATAAAAGAAAAATCTATAATTTTGACCCATACAATGTATTGTTGGCTATTGCTACAAATATACCCCAGCGACTTAACACTGCTTTTGTGCTCCAGGGTCACAGATATGGCGTTTGCATGTACTCACCACATGCACCACCTCAGGATAGATGGGCTCGGTGATGACGCTCCTGTTGTGAGTGATGTACTCCACCATCTCACTGAGCGCCGCCCGCTTCACCTCCTTCCACTTCAGGTCGCTCAACGGGTCGGAGACGAAGTCGAAGAGCACGCAGCACTGACGCAGCTTCTGCAGGAATAACTTCTCCTGCTCGGCCGGAGGAACATCTGCAGCCACGGAGAGGAGAGTTAATGCAACACTGACATCTACTCACTGGAAGGAAAAACTTTTGAAGGCCTCTAAATGATCAAGCTTTGCTGTAACACTCAATCTCCTCATGTCTTCCGTCTCTGATTGATAGTTTAGAGTTTTTATCCAGTAAAAGCTCTTTTAGTGTAATTGTAGAAGCGCTTCTCGTGTCTTTCTGCTGTCAGATCTTGATCTAATCGTCAGAATAACTGCAGTAATATCTCCAGATGAACTCTTACTGCACTGAAGCAGCTCAGCTTTACTTGATTCTCCATCAATCATGTTTTAGTCTCAAATCTGATCCTCAGGATCTTTTGAGGAGCGTTTGTTTCCAGAAGCTTTACTTTCACTGTTCCTCAGCGGAGGAATGATCTTCACAAGCCTCCAGAACATCTCACATCTTCTGAGGAGCCTTTATTTCTTCAGCTCTCAATCACTGCATTATATGTTTGGAGCATTTCAATCTCATCTCACTGAGACAGATTATTGGAGATATAGAGCGACCACTGATATTTAGATCATTTTATGTCAGCATCTGATATTAAAGATCTCATTGATTTACATTACAAGCATCAGCAGAATTTCAGCATAGGAATATCAGCATCTGCACCAAATTCATATTTTTGCTCAGTTTGAGTCTGAATAAAACTGAGCTTTTCTGCCTCCACATTCTCACTGTATCAGAATATATGTGTCAAATATGATACTCAACAAAAACACATTGTTTTTAGATTTTTGTAATATTTTGTGTAAAAGCTCAATTTTTTCTGTTTTAAAAATCAGAGTATTATTTGATATGTCAGGCTTTACAGGGTTAAAGCAATGTTGCAGCTGCAAGGTTTTTCCTGTATTGACGTCAGACAAACATACAGTATATTTTGGGCTCCTCTGAACGTTTAGATCACATGGTTTCCTTTAAAGCTGCACGATGTTTTAAAAGCGTTGTTTTATTTCAGCACAGAGACTGACGGATGAGTAGTGTTGTTGTCTGGGATGCATCAATGTTTGCTATTACATTTTTAGCCACTTCTGATGCTTTTCAGCCCTCATCACAGCTATATTTAATGCGGATCATTAGAGTCGTTAGGTGCAAACAGGACTTCAATGATCTGAACAAGTGTAGAAGTGTTTGTTTTCCTCACTGGTCTGGTCCTGATACTGAAGCGTGATCTGTAAAGGTCAAGCCTGTGAGAAACTCGCCTCACGCTTCCCTTTATGCACATGGGAGTGGTGATTGTGGTTTACATGTGAAAACAGTAGTGCATTGACACTGACATTTGAATCACAGACGTCAGCGTCAACAGCTAATGCGTTTGACCAGAGCTGATTTCCTGAAGCTCAATTTATAAACGACTGCATTTAATTCAATCTGCAGTTCACTAAAGAAAGCATTCACACAACCCTCCTCAGTACTTCACGTTCTGCATGCACTGTGTGCATAGCATGCAAATATTCTGCGTGCATTAAATAATGCATCCCATAATGCAATGCAATCGGCTTGATCTTATTTTTCCAGGGCGATAAATGAAATAAAAGTCATATCAACCATGATTCATTTTAATAACCATGTTTATCACTTATTGCATTACATGTGAATGCATCATGTTAGTCTAAAGATGCTTTTAAAGCAACCCAAAGTTCATCAAAATATTATCCAACTATTCAGGTAATACCAGTTCACTATATTTAAAAACACTAGACTGTGTGGAGAATATAATATCTAATAATATGCATTGATAAATGTTTCTAGATGTCCATTATCTTTTGGAAATTGAGAGGTTATTTTTCCTTCATGCTATTTTAAACAATTAAACTTTTTGCAGTCTGATTGAATAAGTAAAAATTATACACTACTGTAAATTTGCAATAAGTAACATTTTTAATGTTTAAAGCAAGTCTCTTCTGCTCACCAGGGCTGCATCAAAAAATACAGTGGAAAATGTGAAATATGATTGCAATTTAAAATATTTCTATGTGAATATCTGTTAAACTGTCATTTATTTCTGTGATGCGCAGCTGTATTTTCAGCATCATTACTCCAGTCTTCAGTATCACATGATCTTCAGAAATCAGTATAATATGCTGATTAGCTGAATTGAAAACAGTTGTGCTGCTCAATATTTTTGTGGAAAATGTCGTACATTTTATTGTTCAGGATTCACAGATGAATAGAAAGTTCAAAAGAACAGCATTTGTGTGAGAAATAATTTTTTTGTAACATTAGAAATGTCTTTACTGTCACTTTTGATCAATTTAAACGGGTCAAAGATTAAAGATTAAAAAAATCTTTTGACTGAAAATTTTTCCTCAGCCAAACCCCGTTCTAGAGCCCGACTGATATGGTTTTTTTGGGGCCGATGCCGATATTAGGGGTAGTGGAGGCAGGGTATTTAACAATTTAACAATAAACTTTATTATTCAAAATGAGTCTGACATCAGTGCACTTAACAGTAAACTTCACTTCACTTATTATAAATAACTTGAATAACACAAATAGAACAAAATATATATATAACTTGAATTAAGAAATTAAACAAGGTAACTGTGTAAGGGCAAGCAAGCTACTGCCAAACCAACAGGGTCAGGTTAATGCAGGAAGCAAAGCTTTTCCAAATGTAAACATCTAAAATTAATAAATAATAATAATGAATAATATTTTTTTCACAAACTCTGTGTTGTGTATTTTCTGGTAATCCAATGAACATGCAGGACATTCGTATTTAAATCGTCTTTGTGCAGTTTAATATTCACAGACACAGTCTATATATATATAT